GGTTAAAGCTATGAAGATAGAAGATTTCTTTTGCTGCAGTATACAATAACAAAAACCATTCGTCTCTAATGCTTTCGAACGTTACAAATGATTATTTGGAGGGCAAGTAATAAATGTTGGGCTGATAGAGGAAAGTAGTCCATGTCCTGAGTAGGAGATGAGATCAACTTCTCTAATTATTAAACAGTTCAAATATCTTCACTAAAATAGTTTTAAAAGAAATTTGTTAACTTTAAACTCAATAAAATCATTTTAATCAGACCTTTTTCTATAGTGGGGCAGTTCAGCCCGTTTTTTTGTTTGTTTGTTTGTTTGTTTGTTTTATTTGTCAGAGAGAGAGAGGGAGAGAGAGCAAGCACAGGCAGACAGAATGGCAGGCAGAGGCAGAGGGAGAAGCAGGCTCCCTGATGAGCAAGGAGCCCGATGTGGGACTCGATCCCAGGACGCTGGGATCATGACCTGAGCCGAAGGCAGCTGCTTAACCAACTGAGCCACCCAGGCGTCCCAGTTCAGCCCGTTTTAAAATAAATTGTTACCTTTTTAAAAAAATAGTTGTCTGAACACAAGTAAATGTTATGTGCCATTCAACAGCACCTGTTGTCATGATTATAATATTTATTTTCATAGCTAAAGAAAATGAGAAGCTGAAGGAGTCACAATGATAAAAAAAGAATATGAAATTTTCCATGTCAGTTACACAAAAGAAATTAGGACCATTTGGCAATACCTGCACTAATTATGTTTTCTAATTCTAGACAAAGTAACAGCACATTATAAATCAGCAATCATTTGAAAGATCCCAAACTGGATTTTTTAAACCAACACTGGAAACCCGAAAGCCACAAAAGAAATGTCATATATGTTGAAATCTACAAAAACTAAAACCTTGTATGGCAAAAATACCACAAAAGGAGTAGATAAGCAAATTTTAGATTTGGGGAAATATGAACAAAAATGACAGAGTTGGGGCACCTGCATGGGTGGCTCAGTTGGTTAAGTTTCTGCCTTTGGCTCAGGTCATGATCCCAGGGTCCTGGGATGGAGCCTCACATTAGGCTCCCTGCTCAGAAGGGAGACTGCTTCTCCCTCTGCTCCTCCCCGCCTCCCACTCATTCTCTCTCTCTCTCTCTCAGATAAATAAAATCTTTTGAAAAAAAGACAGGCTTAATTTTTATAATATGCACCAGACTTTTGCACATTGGGTAGAAAAAGGGAGCCTAAATATATGACTAGGCGATTCACAGAAGAGCAAATCTAAATAACAAGCATATATGAAGAGATACTCAAGTTTTCCACTATTCAGAGAAATGCTAATAAATGTAACAATTAGCAGTACATATCTATCAAGGAAGAGTTAAAAAAAGAACAGTAATTCTTGTTGGCAAAGATAGGAGGAAAAGAAATTCTCCATTGCTGCTAGTAGACATTTGCAGTGATACTTTTGGGGAGGAAAAAAATGAAGTATCTGAAGAAAGCACATATCTATATATTTCCCTCCACCTAGCAATCCCAATTATGAAAATCTATTCCAAGGTCATTGAACCGCCAGTGCACACCAGTACATAAGGATACACTACAGGGAGGAGGCATTGTTCATAGTGGCAGGAAACTGGACACCAAGTGAATGGCAACAGTGGAATGATTGAATGTGATGACACAATCCTATCATGAGATGCTCTGCAGCCATCTAAAGGAATGAATCAGAGCCACAGAAGTGATTTGGGGGGACTTCTGAGTACTGGAGCATAAAAAAGTAATATGCTGACGTGTATAATATGCCCACATTTTTATGTAACTGAAAGTTGCTATATGTGTATATATGTGTGTTTAAGATTCACAAAACAGTAAAAATAAGGAAGAATACATGCTAGGTTGTTGACATGGGTTATCTAGAAGGTGAGCAGTGCATGGAAGACTGATGGTGGGGAACCAAAAAATTAAACAAAAGGGAGAACCTAAACCAGAAATCCTCAGTACACGCATTAGGATTACATTGATGTATTTATATAAAATTATATGTGTGTGCATACAGAAACTTGAAAAAATTTAGCATATATTTAAGTGCCTACCGTGTTTGAAACTAGGTACTTGGAAGTGTTAGCTCCTAATTTAGCAACAACACTCTACTGTGGGCAGAGCATCATTTCTGGAGACAAGATTTAATTCAAGTCTTGGCTCTGCATCCCACAGTTAGACCTGTTTTACAAGTCACTTCTCTTGAGTTTTTTTCCTCATCCAAAAACAGGGACAATACTTGCCATATTTTGAGGTTCAAATGAATTAGTATATGAAAGTACTTTCTAAAGTAATATAATTAGGGTGTAAGTAATATTTGTCTTTTATCATATTCCAAAACTCAAGGGTTAGTGTACAAAGGCTCTGTTTATTTATGATAGTACTTCCACTGTCAAATGTGAAGTTCATGCTCAAACTGCACAGGCCTCACCATGATTACGTAGACAGCTCACATGATGTACAACAGTGTGCAGTGAGTTACTTAAAAGTCCTGGATTTGAATCCAGCTGGTTTTGCAATCTTGAGCAAGTGACAACCTCTGCAAGCTTGCTTCGGCATCTACACAATAACCATTGTGCGTACACCATGGGATTGTCGGAAGAGTAAGTAGCCAGAATTGTTTTCAAAAATTGTAAAATGCTAGAAAATTGGTATCATTCTGTCATGCTGTCTTTAGATTATAATCTACTTTCTTCATGCACCTCTATGAGGGAAGTTTACATTTGGGCCTCCGAATGGATGGCAGGAAACTCCAGGGGGAAACTGCACTATAAGTAAGTGCTAAATATATGGAAATGAAGATTTATTAGTAAAAACATTTCTTCCTATAAACTGCAATAGAAAGCACCTAGCTTGAAAGCATTGGTACAGCTATTTAAAACTATAGTAATCATGGGGCACCTGGGTGGCTCAGTGGGTTAAAGCCTCTGCCTTCGGCTCGGATCATGATCCCGGGGTCCTGGGATCGAGCCCCGCATCGGGCTCTCTGCTCAGCAGGGAGCCTGCTTCCCTCTCTCTCTGCCTGCCTCTCCGCCTACTTGTGATCTCTCTCTCTGTGTCAAATAAATAAATAAAATCTTAAAAAAAAAACTATAGTAGTCATATCCAGAACTATGAGAGATAATAATAAATTAATAAACCACTAAAATTGGGGGTCATTTGTTAGGCAGCAATAACTATATAGCTAGGTCTATCAGTTACCTGTTCTCCAGAATGCTATGTAACAAAGGACCCCCAAACACTGTGGTTTATAATCCTAAACAGCTATTATTGTTCACAAGTCTACAGATCAGTTGGGTGGTTCTGCAAGTCTGGGCTAGGTCTGGTTGATTTGGCCTGGGGTCAAATGCATCTGCAGTCAGCTGGCAGGGTGGCTGGGGGCGAGCTAGTGGAGCACAGCCTCACTCACATGTCCTGCTGTTCACCATGGCAGCGGAGCAGGGCTCTAAAACAGCAAGTAGAAGGGTTCAAAGTCTTGGAAATCTACTCAAAGCTGGCATATATTATTTCTTCTGCATTCTATTGGCTAACACAAGTCACAAGGCCAGTCCTTCAGATTTAAGGGATAGAGGAATAAAGTCAACTTCGGGTGGGAGAAGTGTCAGTTATATTGCACAGGTCTGGAGTACATGAAGGGATAAACAAGTGGGGACACACTGCAGTAAATCTACCCAAAATAAGTAAAAACCGTACTGTTTTATTAATGAGCTGTCTGTAAGCATATACTGAGATAGATGTTTATTCATACATAAATTCAATCCCTCTTATTTTAATTCAGCATTCTGGCCTATTACTTTCCCCTCCTTTCCTATCCCTCTTATTCCACTTGAAAGATAAGCTGGTTTCTTTTCTTTTCTTTTTTTTAACTTTTGTTTATTTATTTGATAGAGCAAGCGAGCACAAGCAGGGGAAGGGGCAGAGGGAGAAACAGACTGCCCTCTGAGCAGGAAGCACCATGTGGGACTTGATTCCAGGACCCTGAGATCACGACCTGAACCAAAGGCAGATGCTTAACCGACTGAGTCACACAGGTGCCCCTTATTTTTTCTTTTTTTTCACTATAAAGTTTAACTTAACGCTGTAGGGATTCAATAAAGGCTCCAAAACCATGAGTAAGAGAACTAATAGTTAATAACAAGTATAAATGAATTCCTCTGCATCCAGAATGAAAAAACTAAAGAACAGAGTAAGTGAATCAGACAACTGAAAGGTCTACAATGGACTTTAATGAATAGTTTTGGTAAAATCTGTGTTTTTGCACAGATACACAGGTATAAAACACCTAAAATATAAAAAGATTCTCTCCTTAAGTACTTCTTAGAACAGCTGCGACTAAGGTTAACTCGATATACATTTCAGGGCTTAAAACCCAAGAAATGAACACATTTTTGCACAGTTACACCTAAGAGACATAAATTTATTATCTAACATTGGAAATACTCTCTTGACATTTGATTTGTTATTCTTATTGGTAGGTTTGCCTTTTAAGTTTTCCTAGGAGACAACACAAGAAAAAAAGTATCTACCCAGATTACCCATTATCATTCTTTTGAACATTACTTTAGGAATAACACGATATTAAATTAGCTCAATTTTGAAAAACATTGACAAAATGCTGAAGTGTTATTCTTACTTTCAGAATCTCTTTTTGAAAAGGAAATTAATATTAAAAAATTGTTTTTGCCCTGACATTGGTGGAATGAGATACACCTATGCTGTTTACAAATTCAACACACAAGTCTGCTTTAAAAGAGAAAACACTAATAGGTAAAATGAAATGAGAAGCCAACTTTAGGAGATGCTTTCATTCCAGTGTACTTAGTTAACCCCCTCCTAGGTTTTACCAGCACATCTCTGAAAAGGAATGCACATCCTAATTTCATAGATAATTAACAATGATCATTTTCCTTATACATTTAAAATATGCTTACCTCTTTGACAGCTCCAGTCTTAACTGTAAAGAAAAAGTTATTTCAAGAACCCAATTTTAGGTGCTCCAACGACATTTTATCATCACAAGTAGTATCACAACTATCAGTGTTTCTTAAAAGGAGGATTACTGACATTGTGGGCGAGATAATTATTGTGAAAGGCCATTCCAGACACTGTAGAACATTTAGGATTCCTGACCCATTCACTAAATACCAGGAGTTTTTAAGATCATTGTGACAATTAAAAACATATCCATCCATTTCTGACTGCCCCTTGATAAGACCACTGAACTAAATGATCAAAAATTAGTATCTATTAGCTTTGTGACTTCCACAGAAAGTAACTGCTTCATTACCTTCAGTAACAATGACTGAAGAGGAATACTTTGTTTAAAAAAAAAAAATCGTAATTTAATGTTATTTTGGAAAGATAAGCTGTTTCTCCAAATTCATGGTAATCTGAAAGGATTAGATGCACAAAGGGCAATACTTACTTATCCCAAAATGCACACATATATTTACAGGAAAATGACTGTTTATGTTTTACTGGCGTATCTAATCCCATTTATCTTTAGTATAAAAATATGTCCATCTTCTACAACAAAATAAAAAAACATGTGGATCTTCTTGGTAAATTCCTTCACACTGATGTTCCTGGAAACTGCTGCTGTCTTTGCTCCAAAACTTGCTGATTTAATAGTTGTTGCTGTTTCTGTAAAAACTGCACCACTTCTGGACTTCTTAGTAATGACTTGAAAAGAAAAAGGAAAAAAATATATTTATTAGCATTATTCTTATGGGAGTAGATTGTCTTCATGCTATAAAATTACTCTGATGTCTCTACACAAGGCACAATATGCTTACAAAACAAAATGTGCCCGACCTGAATTCACACTTGCACCTGATGCACTGCATTAAACTGCAAACTAAGAATAATAAAATTCGATGTCATATATTAAAATACTAAAACCTACAGTAATGGGTGAAGCCTAATCTTATCGGTGACTGTGTACACAAAGGAAATGAAATGCTTTATGTTATGCCAGCATATATACTATCTATGAAACATAAGAGCAAACAGACAAGAAGAGCACTGGTCCAAGGTCACAGTAAGAAAAACAAGGGGCCACGTGTGAAAATGGCAATTAGATGCCAGGTTGGAAATCCATGTAAGGATTCAATTTCTCCACTAGCCTATTGAGTCTTTCTGAAGAAATTAAAAAGAATGTGTGTGTGTACAGGTATTAATGAAAGTAGTATTAGCATATTGCAAAAATTTCCGAAAAGGCAGAATATGACTGATCTAATACAGTTTTGTATACCTACCATTTTTAAATATAGTCATATAACAAATATAGTTAGTGTGCTTTTACTTAAATAAAATACTTCTATAAATTGATGAGGGAAAAAAACTTTGGATCCCCAAAATTAAAAAAGATAAACCAAGCAAGGTGGAAACACTATCATTAAACACTGATTTTAAAACTTAACATTAGAACGCAGTACATTTTCTAATTATTTCTTTAAAACTTATTTATTATACTTCAATAAAAAATTGTTTGTAAAGATGTACCAATATCCTATTAAGTAAATGCACAATAATCTACTCCACTATTATCAAACTGTTGAACATTTAGGTGGTTTTAACTACTATTTTACTATTTGTGATAATTACATTTCTGGCAACATCTTCATGCTTAACTTTAGCCATATATAGGGTTTATTTCCTGATGAGACTCCTGATACCACTGCCCAACTGCTTTCTAGGTCTGATATATACATAATACCACCAATAGAATGAGAGTGCCCATTTCATGAAACCCCCAACATCACTGTGATATCTTTTAAATAGTTTTCATTTGTTGTATTGTTAATTATGATTTTTACTGATACTGAATACCTTTTCATATCACTTCATGGTAGCATTTCTGCTTTTATTCCTGTTTATACTTTTGCAATGTAGTGAAGCCAACATTTTTTCCTCATCAATTTCTATGAATATTTTGTAAACTAAAAATGTCAACCATCTTTTTTTTTTTTTTAAAGATTTTATTTATTTATTTGACAGACAGAGATCACAAGTAGGCAGAGAGGCAGACAGAGAGAGAGGAAGGGAAGCAGGCTCCCTGCTAGCAGAGAGCCCGATGCGGGACTCGATCCCAGGACCCTGAGATCATGACCTGAGCTGAAGGCAGTGGCTTAACCCACTGAGCCACCCAGGCGCCCAAAATGTCAACCATCTTAACCATAGTGTCTTATATGTGCAGCAAATATTTTTCCAATATGTTAGTTTGAAGTTTGCATTTTTTTTCTTAAAGATTTTATTTATGACAGAGAGAGAGCAACAGAGGGAACACATGCACAGGGGAGCTGTAGCAGGAGAAGCAGGCTCCCTACTGAGCAGGGAGCCCGATATGAGGCTCTATCCCAGCATCCTGGAATCGTGACCTGAGCAGAAGTCATACGCCCAAAACGACTGAGCCTCCCAGGTGCTGCCTGAAGTTTGCATTTTTATCACCATTTTTGACTACAGCATTCATTACTTCATACTTCTACTTCTTTTCAGCTAGAAAAAGATTTTTAAGATTAAGTCTCAATTGTATTTTTTTTTCCTTTATCAGGAATTTAGTTTGATGTATAGTGATATGATGAGCTAAATTCTCTTTTTGTCTTCAAATTATCACCCAATTATTTCCATGTTTATTGAAAAATCTCTGCTTTTCTGATTGAATTCTGATGTCTTCTAGCAAATTTATAATAGAAATCCCTATTAAATGTTGGTCTCATTCTATTTCCATACTACTAATGCATTCTTCCACAAACCACAGAATTCAGTACAAAGTCTGCTTTAAAGCCCCATTTTGCTCAGATATTCAAGGTTTAGTCAATGAAGGTAAAGGATTAAAGGTTTGTTTTGGGAAAGCATTATGAGATTCCAGGGTGTACTGGCAAAGGAACAATTCATTCTGATGACCAGTTGAGCAAGTTTTAAAATCTCAAAAATCTAATTCTAACAACTTCTGATAATAAATTTTTAAGTACTTTATAGATACTTACCAGTCTTTTTTGATTTAACACTTGTTCTAAAAGAGTAGGTCTTGCAGGACGATCCCCAAAGGTTCCTGTTCTTTGTTTAACAATGGAGAGTATGTTATCTGTACTTTCCTGGGATAAATGATAAAAATGCAAATAGGATTAACAGTTCGCATAATATAATAATCCATGATCCTACGCTTTTAATGATGTAAAGAATGAGTCCTCAGCGTCTCTTCCTTCTTGCCCAGTTCCTGTGAAACTTTGGGAAAAGCCCTCATTAAGTCACCGAGAAGATGTTGGCAGTTAATTTTATAGAACACTCTTCACTCCCACCCCTCTACAATTTCTTTAACCTCAGATCTCCAGTCTCTTGTGAAGGTCTCAAAATCAAAAATGGGGTAGAGGTGGGAGGAGCAAAGAGTTACCTGTGAGCTGTTTTCAGTATTATAAAAAAAATGCCAAGTGGAAATTGAACATTCTGTTCAGATAAAGCTATCCAGGCCAAAATAGTCTGCCTCTTTTGGATAGAATATATACTCAAAGGCCATCTACCTATTGCTAGAGACACTGATAGTTTTTTATCCAGTTAACAACAACAATTAAATGGGCGAAGCAGTAAAATATTAAAGAAGCAACTGATGGACAAGGCTTTCAAAATTTGTAAGTCACTAGGAGAAAAATGACAAACTGGCTTTGAAAACACTGGAAAGCACTGGTATAAATAATCCCTGCCACTGGTATAGACAAAATAGCTAGATCCTAAAATGAAAACCATACTCCGAGATATCCTTACCCAAATAAACTCAGCAGCCCTACCTACCAAATATGTATCCCTAGTTCCTTGACAGTATCTTAAAAACTCACAATTTTCCTGGCATAACTAAATACTGGAGTTAACTGAGATATATTCTGACTCTTATAAAACCACGATACAATACTGATCACATCCAAAAATGATGACTAAGCAAATATAAAATTATAAATGTTTTACATAAACCCATGCTATATGTAAATTTACTCTTCTCTCTTTGCTCTTGATTTAGGTGGTTACTGAAGCTGTTTTCTTCTCTTGACCTCTCTCTACTGGCCTCTGAGTTCTGTTAGAATAGCCACTATCTCTCTTTCATTATGGGAAGTTTATCAACCCGATATGACAAAAATGTTCAATCCCTAAACATTTTGGGCCGCAAAATGTAAAAAAACAAAAACAAAACCAAAACTATAAAAAGAGCATTCTCATACCCAAAGAAAACAAAAATAATTTCTTCTTCTCTTTCCACAGGATTAACTATGTGTGGCACTATTTCATATTTATATGCACAAGAAGTGGAATCATGAAACTGACTTGATGGCAGAGTACCCTATATTCTCACAACCCCAAACAAAGTACTACGCAGATTAACAATGTGAATGTTACAAAATCACGAAAACTTGTAGTAGAAATAACCTTGAGTCAGCTAGTCCAAACTTCTACAATGTTGAGGTTCCCTTTTTAAAAATTTTCAACACCTTTTCCCTTTTCAAAAAATTTCAACACCTTTTGTCCTAAGGAGTTTACCAACTTTTGAGGCATCCTGTTTAGTTTTAAATAAGTCCAACATTTAGGTAAACTTTTATCTCGACTGAGCTGAAATACATATCTCTTGTGATTTTTACTTAAATGTCCTACTTACATAGAGCTATGCAAAATAAACCTACTGCTTCTTCCAAATGATACCCTTTTAAGGATATTTATGGGTAATGATCACTCCCGTAAGTCTATTCTTTTATCCCTAGTTCCTTATGTTTCTCTCCTATAGCATAATTTTTATTTTTTTATTTTTTTAATTTTTTAAAAATTTTTTAAAGATTTAATTTATTTATCTGACAGAGATCACAGGTAGGCAGAGAGGCAAGCAGAGAGAGAGGAGGAAGCAGGCTCCCTGCTGAGCAGAGAGCCCAATGCGGGGCTCGATCCCAGGACCCTGGGATCACGACCCAAGCCGAAGGCAGAGGCTTTAACCCACTGAGCCACCCAGGCGCCCCTATAGCATAATTTTTAGATGCATGACTAAATGTCATATACATTTGTTCCTTATTTAACTTGATTTATGTAAATGATTTTAAATACCTTAATTTCTAATCTTGCTTTTAGATTACTACAAAAGACCCCTATTACCACTCATCAGTCCTACTATAATGATCTCCTAAATAATCTCTAAATCTCTAGGCCTCAACTTTAATCCACCCCATTAGAGTCCCTGTTACTTTCTAATTAGAAACTTCGTTTGAAGACCCCAAACCCAAATCCCATAGTCTGACATTCAATACCATACAAAAACTGGCTTCAAATTATCTTTCCAAATTTATTTTCCATGAATTTTCCAGATAAATATTCTTTCGTTAGAATGGTCCCCTTGCTTCTTCCCAAAAGTGTTTTCTGTATTCACACTTCCCTTCCTTTACTAAGATGTGTTTCTCTTTATTTTATCTACCAAAATTTGAGGGAAGCAATATAGAGTGGGGATAGAATGAAGGCTCTAGAATCAGACTGCTTGGGTTTGAATACTTGTTGGCTGTATGACCTAAGCTGTTACTTAATCTCTCTGTGCCTTAGTTTCCACACGTGTAAAATATAGCATCTGTGTAGCACTGTGTAGGGTGTCAGACTCCAGGCCTGGCACATAAGAAACTTAGCTGATTAAGCTTAAACTATTAGCCACACTTTCTGGTGTCTACTGAGTTATATTTTCTCTGCAAAACCTTTTCAGAGTATCTCAGCCGGTAAGGATCTATCCTCCTCTCCGCTAGTAAAGTAAAACTATATAGTTCGCCCTTATTATATCCTGATGATAACTGTTGGTTATTTTCTTTACATTCAGTTGGACAAAGATAAAGACTTACAGATCTTGGTATCTCCTCAGAACTGGTAAAGTGTCCCCATTACATAAGACAATGGTATAGCAGGGTATTAATTTTTGTTTATAGCAGTTATTTCTATTCATGCAAATTATTTTAGAATAGGAAAATTATTAAGGTTCTTTTTGTGGGAGGTAGAGGAGGAGACTTAATTCAGTATCTATTTGCCTTTTATACATTCTCCTTAAACAGTAGATGTAAAAACTAGACAGTTAAAAGAAGGTAGCTATAGATAAAATACTTCTTTCTTGAAAAGAAGTATATCATTTTCTCTCTCTGTATTCTGAAGTGAATTTGGAATGTATAGAGGGCAAACATGACTCTTACCAACTTTCATTTTGTAATAAGTGAGATGTTTATTTCCATAATTACTTATAATCCAAGATTTGGTAAAATATATTTTACAAGGATGTGGATACAGATTTTAAGCCACAGGGGTCCTTAACTTTGTAATGTGTATGCAAAATTAAATACCTACCTGTGTGTATTTTTCTAGGAAAAGAGTTCATTAGGTTTCATCAGATTCTCAAATAAGTCCTTTAACACTAAACAGATTAAGATTCAATGGGATAAAAGGGAAAGAGAAGTCACTCAGACCCTAATCAGTAGGTGATGCTGATTACTATAGATTACTATAATAATACTAATCTATAGTAATTACTATAGGTACTATAGTCATGCTGAATACTATAGATTTTAAAAATATTTAGGACTTCATATTTGTAAGCAATTCCAAAGTCTAAAATTTTAGCAATGAGGCAGCTGTTCAAGTATAGCAAAAACTAAGAAAAAAAAATTTTTTTAAAGAGTTTTAGAATATATCCTAGGATAGCTTTCAGTTTAAAAAATTTTCTGGATCGTTTTTAACAAAATTCAGTTTTTCAATGAAAATGTATAGAGAGATTATAGCTTTTATTAGGAGTAAAGCACACAGGATGAAATATCCGCTTATCTATAACAACTTCAAAGTGCAGCATTAATAATGACCATAATAATGGCTAAGGTTTACTGACTTACTATCTGCTAGACACTGTGTGAACACTCAATATGGAATATCTCACATATTCACTGCAGCATTACGAACCAGGTACCATTTTAATACCCATTCTCAGAGGAAGAAGCTGGGCTTAAAAAAGTTTAATAACCTGTTCAAGGCCACACACAGCAAATGATGGAATGGAGATTTGTGGCCGGAAGTCCAACACCAAAGCACTGGCTTTAACCTTGAACACAGTTCAAAGCAAACACTCCAAAAATCTTCCTGAGAATTACACCCCTTTATGATTCCATTTTCTTTTCTAGGAGCACTAAGAAAAGGGCTAATGAGAACAGGGATACTGAGAATAAGGTATTAAGTACAGGGTACTAAGCATGGGAGTACTGAGAACAAGTCTATTAAGTATAAGGCTACTGAGAATAGAATTACTGAGAACAGAGTACAAAGAATAAGATTAACAGAGAACAGGACACTAAGGACAGAGTACTATTAAACACAGGGGTACTAGGAGCAGCTTACTAAGAATAGGCATACTGATAACAGTAAGCTGTGAATAGAGAGGGTAATAAAACCAGGAAGAGATCACCTTCTCCAAAGTACAATTTCATCTAGGTTCCTAAGTCTCTTGGCCTGCTTCTTTAGCGATGAACCAGACCAATCACCTATTATCTGTCCTTCCAGCCCATATCCCAGATCTTTGAAATGACAGATCTGCTGATGTATCACATCATTTCCATTGACATTCATTCATCTATCACAAGGATGCAACAGAACTGTTAAGGCTTTGCACATGTGCGTATAAACTTTAATTTAGGACAAGCACTCACTAACTCTCAACCACAAGTCCAGCCCCAGCAACCTGGCCCATCTGGAAGCCGGTGGGTAGTGCTGGAAATGCACTTCGCCTAAGAGTGGAGTTTTTTCTAACCACCTCCCTCTGCCCAAGACCGCATCTAAGGTCTGATACCTCCAGTCTGACGTTTCCCGTGCTGCCAGGCTGCGCGGACCCACTGCAGTTAAGGGCCTGGTCACTTTTCTTCTTTTTGTATTTGTCCTTATACATCTTGTTGCGGTGTTTCTTGCACATCCAAGGCTTCCGTTGCTTGGCCACCTGGCTCGTGGTCTCGCTGCAGCCCTCGAAGGTGCAGGTCTTGCTCATGCTGCCCCCGCCGCTGCTCCGTCTCCGGGCTCCCCCGCTGCCACCCTCGCCGCCAGAGTGGGTCTCCTCATCCTCCAGATCCTCCAAACTAGCAGTGCTTTCGCCTCCTCCTGGGGCGTCGGAAGTGTCCAGCAGGTCGGCTTCGTCCTCCCCTGCCTCCTCCTCGCCAGTCCCCGCCACTTCGCACAGGTACCTAATGGACTTGCCTGCACCGGCGCCGTCCCCCAGGGCCGGAGCTTGCCTCAGTACGCCCTCGGCCGCAGAGTCGTCCTGCCCTCCGCAGGGGTGCATCACCAGCAGAGTAAACTGCGAGGCCTGGGCCGGGACCGGGGCCGGAGCCAGGGCCTGGCCCAGAGCAGGGTCCGGAGCCCCGGGGCGGAGCGCGCCGCTGGCAGCGCCCGGCCCCGCACCCTCGACATCACCCTGCACCTCCGTGCTGCTGACACCTTATGGGGGTCCACGACCCCAGCCCTTCAGCACCTGTAGGGCCCAACGGCACTTCGCAAACCAAAGACCCAGGACCCGCGAGAGGAAAAAAAAACCTCCGGCTCCGCTAAGGCAGCCCGACTGCGCCTGCGCGTGAGCGTTTCCACGCCGGGTGCCTTTCAGGGAACTTGGCGTTTCTGAGGGGCGGGGCTGAGCCGCCAGCGAAGGAACTGCTGCGCAAGTGCGGCTCTGGCGCTGGCGGGAGGCGCCACGCTTCGCTGGCGCCGCCGCTGCTGTGGAGGCTGTGTGTGAAGTTGAAGTGTCCGGGGCGCTGGGTAAGACGGCGCTTTTTTTGCTGAAACCTGCTGTTCAAAAAGTTTCAAAACACTTATGAACTGGAACTCCACAGTATAAATTAAGGTCGTTCCTGAGCGATTTATGACTTGTGGCGTTCGGACGCTGGTTGTCCTAATATTTTGTCCCCAACTGCCTGAAGTGGGAGATGTGAAGCTGGGATGTGGTGATGTCACACCCTGGGACCAATTGTTAGCAGTCAGGGACAGCAGAGGCGGCCTATTTGAAAATGATACAGTGGTGAAGGAGTGGGCCAGACTGGGGCCCAAGTTCTATTTGTGTTGAGAGCTAAGCGGTTTGTTCTTGATAAATTTGTTTTTCTCTCCAGGAAACTTACTTATTTGATTTTTAATGTTTATCCTTTGCTATAACCGCTGAGGTAAGCCTTTAATACCGTTTTCATTAAATTCAGTGAAAATGTGCGAAAAGCAGCAATGAATAACAAACAAGAAAAAAAAAAGCCCTCAATAGACGATCTATCATTTTTACCAATTGTGGCACAGTTGCTAGTTGTTAAATCTTAAATTAGCCAAATCTCGCGGGGGAACCGATCCTGCAAGGTCTTGTACGAAACCGTCGAGTAATTGTGCTCTTTCCATGTATTCCTTCCTCCTTGCGTAGTCGGGGTTTGCATTCCACCTGTTGCTAAGGAAAGCAATGCTCTCCAACCAATGATAAATCCACTCACATTAAGGTGTTTGGGTGTTCATGTGTGAGTAGATCACCAGCTACATTTCAAAGAGAGGCACAGTGGATGGGAGAAAGTTTGGAATTCGACAGACCTGGCTGGCACCGTCCTGTTGTGACCAGGCCTAGTTAGTGAGAGCCTGTGTGGGCTTTGGCTTTCTCAGTGGCCAGAGGGGCGGTCAGTGGTGTGCTAGACCCGGTGGATGAAAGCCAGTTGTTAAAATATCAGGAGTTTAATGAGCTGGAGTCTAAACACCTTCATTTCTAAAAATGAATTACACCAACAAATTATGTTCAAAACAAAAGTTAAAATCCTCAAAACTTACACTTTCTAATTGTGTTACAGTGTTTTACTGTAGTAACGCTTATAAGAATAATTATGTCTATTGTATCTGTATGTGGAAATACTATGGAGTGATGTGATACTGCACCTCTCAGCTCTGCATACATTGATGTCACAGTGGTTGCTTGAAACTAGCCATGGTAAGAGTATTTACACAATGGAAATTGCCAAATGAAACAAAACGGAGCTCGATTTACTAAATGTCCGATTGTCTTCAGACTTAAAGGGATTATAAAAATGTTAACAAAGATTCAACTTAAAACATTTGATCTGTGGCTGTCACATTGTGAATAGCTTCCCAAAATTGAGGAAATAAATATTCTTTCAGTATTTGAAAACTACCGTGATTTCAGCAAAGTAGTTGCTTACATCAGTGAAGAACAAGTGAAGTCCTAGCATACATCTTCATTGTTTCACTTTTGTCTTACTCATAAATGTAAACAAAAATATCAGCCAACATTCATGTCTGAACTACACTCTGTCAGTGATGTGAGCAACTTCTTTGCTGATTTGGATAAAAATCAAGCATTTATTTATAGTTTGAATTCATGACACTGCTGTTACTGCTGTTGGTGAAATAATTATAAAAACTGACAGTGGGTTTTACAAGTAACAAGTCACTGACGTGTGGGTGTATGGAATTTACAATAAAGTGACTTGTGATTTTTGTCATTATTTGTAAATCATGTGCTAAACATTTTTCTATCAGTTAACTCTTTTTTAAAAAATTTACCAGCATGTCACTGAGGGCAGTGCTATTTAAATCCTAGTGCAAATTCCTGTTACGGTATTTAATAAATGACAGCAGGGTTTTCTTTTTAATTTATTGAGAGATAATTTACATATCATGAAACCCACCCATGGTAAGCATACAGGGTAATGATATAGGCCAGCAGGAACCAATTGACTCCTAATATTCCAATTGACTCCTCCTAATATTCCATTTTTCAGTGTTACTGTAATTTAACTCTGACTTAGCCTTCTTCCTTTGCTTAAGAAAATGATGTATGGTGATGGGTATTGAGGAGGGCACTTGTGACAAGCAGTGGGTATTATATGTAAGTGATGAATCACTAAATTTTACACCTGAAACCAGTATTACCCTATTTGTTAGCCAACTAGAATTCAAATAAAGACTTGAAATAAAAAAAGAAAATGATGTATGGTTAATTTTTATGTAATTTGTAATTCAAATAAAATTATTATACAACTGGAACCAGAGTTCCCCATCTGTTTTCCTCTCTTTCAAACTCTGTAGACTAGTTTGCCTTCTCTCGCTTGTTTTTTTCTTCCTCTCTTGCTTTTAGACAACAGTTCTATGCTTCCCTGAGGAGTAATATATGCTGTGTGTTGGGAGCTTATGAAAGGAATCATTCTAATTTCCTTTTTTCAGTCACCCTAGGTGTTCTTTCAAACTATGAAACTTGATGTTCACAGAGTACCAATTTTCACCAGAAGAGAACTTTACCATTGTGATTACAGCATAGTAGAATGGTCTTAAAAGCAATTATGACCCTCATTTTTATCTAAGAATTCTTGCATGGAAATAAGTCTTTAGGTCTTGGATTTTATTTTATTATTTCAGAGGAAAATAAAGTACTTAACTGTACCATATATCATGCTTGTGATATTGATTGAATGAATGTTACGATCATTACAAAACAATAATTTTCAATTCTACCATTTCTCTGTATTTATGAGTTGGTATTTTACTGTAAAGAAGAGCCTTCCCTTTTACTTTATGTATTTATTGTTTATATACTGTCAGTATAGACTCATAGATTAATGTTTTATTTAATCAATTGCAATCTCTTACTTACCTTATTGATTTTGCTGCTCAAATTGTTCTGATTTGGCTGGACTTTCTAGATTTGGCTGGAAGTAGTCCTTCAAGTTGCATCCTATATCCTTTTGAGCATTTCCTTACTTTCTGACACAAAAAGGTATTCCAGACCTGTCTTGTACCTTTCCAGCTGCAGTCCATTTCTCCTTTCTCCTAGGATTTCTGGTTCTTTTTCATGGAGAATGATATCTAGACACCAAGATCTGGGTGCTAGATGTGCTCATTTTTAGTAGACACTTTTAGCAGAAAGAGGTAAAGGGGAAAAAATCCAAATATGTGTATATTTATGTATGTATCTATATGTAATCATAAATTCATGCTGATTACTGATAACTCCAGTTAAGATCCTACCCCCAGTAGTCTTTCTTGCCTTCCCCCATTCCACCTAGTATCTTCTTTCTTCCCAATGAGAACTTTGTTGATGATATGAATCATCATGAGATGAGAAATTTGTTTATGATAATCTATATTGCATGTTATAGTTTATATTAGTTTTTTCATTGAATGATTTTTTAAAAAATTATTTATTCTTTGCTTCCAGAAAGGTAAAAGGCATATTAAGATAATGAAATGAACACAGAGTTCATTTTTGTATTTGTATTTGTATTTCATTGTATTTGTATTTGTATTTCTTGCATCTATCAGTCCACAGATAATGCATGATTATAACAAAAAGTAGACTCTGCTTAGACTTCCACATACATTGTTTGCATTTTGTTTAGGAAAGCCAGGAGATAGCCTCCTTTGAAAGAGGATTTCAAAGAGTTGCTGGGTATGTAATACTTTGATAATAATGTTATCAGTGTAAGAGTAGAGGACTTCTAGGGGAAGAAATATTCTTGGACATTAGTGTGTGATGTTTTGACTTTAGTCAGAGGTTAAATGCCTATGTATTTGATCTTCCATACCCCAGTCATCCTTGAATCTAACTTAATTGTCACAAAATGCCTTACCTAAATATAAATAAAATACAGAACAGCAGTGAAATATCTATAAGATGACCTCTGCTGGTTCATTTACAACAAGGGAGTTCCTCTATCCCCATGTGATATGTATTCATAACACTTGTGATGTTATTAGATGCTCACACTACCAAACTGAGTTCTCATTTGAACATAAGCAGGGGAACTTTAAAAAATAAATATTTTATTTATTTATTTGATGGAGAGAGAGAGAGCACAAGCAAGCAGAGTGAGAGGCAGGGAGAGAAGCAGGGTCTCCCCTGAGCAGGGAGCCCAATGCAGGGCTCCATCTAGGACCCTGGGATCATGATCTGAGCCGAAGGCAGCTGCTTAACCAACTGAGCCACCCAGGCACCCCAAGTAGGGAAATATTTTTAAAACTATTTCTAAGTAAGTCAGATAAGTTTGTTCTCATGGAAATAGTGTGGCTGGAAGAACAATGAGAGGCAAGACTTGATCTATATGAACATAGAGCTGGCATCTGGACCCATTTGCTATGACAGTAAAAGTCTGGGTTTCATTGAGAAACAGGTTATCTTTTCATCCTTCTCGAGCTATGTGTGGGGATAGGGAGGACATAAAAAACTCCTGGAGGCCTCATGATTTAGTTTAAATTATACAACTAAATTGTTTTTCTAATTAGGATTTTTTTTTAAAGATTAACTGAAATAAGGAATTACATCCCATCAATTTATAGCAACATTACTTTTTCCAGAGATGAGAGATCTTAGAGGTGTGGGTAGCAACATTACTTTTTCCAGAGATGAGAGATCTTAGAGGTGTGGGTAGATTACTTTATCAAAAGTCCATTCTTGTAGATAGTTTTTAGACAAAACAACATTCTAATGACTGATTAAAGAGGCTAACTCTGGTAGCACAATGTATGAAGTAATGTTCACTCTGAGACACCTTAGTCTGGTGGCCTTAAGCTCTATTTTGGCATAAGTCTTAGCATGATAGCTTCATCAAGGGAATTTGAGATGATTTGAAAGGACACATGATATGTAATAGGGAAGCAAGGAAAGAGTCACAATCATATGGTACATAAAACATGCATTTTGCCTGTTGACGTAGTTATTGTTGGTAGTACCGCTAGGTTTATGCCTAAAAACATAGTATTCTGATAAATTCTGTCTTGCACAATTCCCATAAAAGAAAGGGGGGAAATACATG